GTCTCAATTTACTCAAAAGTGTTTTTGCTTTTCTACGACAAACAACCAAAGATGTTGCTGAAGAAGCTTTTGTTTTTATTGCTCTCAGTTGTCACTACCCACACCACAGCAGTTAGAACTCCCTAATTTCCTATCTGTCTTTAGAAGTAGGGTCCAGTGAGTCTTATAAAGTGTTATGTCATGGTACTCTTATAAAGCACTTGCCTCCTTATTATGACCATCGAACATTTGCTCCTCTCATTCTTCAAGGAATTTCATCTTTGGAACCGATTAGTCTATTACGCTTCATGCGTCCCATAGATTATGTCCATCATGGACTTTATTCTATTTGGAGCATTAGTAGCTGAAATATGAAATTTAGTTTTAGGTCAGCAAATGCGCATGGCAACATTTTGCAAATGAATTATCACTTGAACTTCAAGTTCATATTTTCTTGTGCGAGGATCTAAGTGTACTCATAATAATTCATTCCATGTATTACTTTTTTCAGTTGCTCATTTTCTCCCATAATGTTGGGATCACCAACGCATATCCCCAACTTCTTTGGGGACCAATCTTTGTGCATTGTGGTGTCACAATTAAATCATATAGTACATCCATATTTCTAGATGAAAATATTTGGTTCCTGATCCTGAACCAATTGTGATGGGAAGAATATATCATAACTTGTTGGCTAGATGCGTACAAGTGCTGTTGTATATTAAATAATACACTTCATACAAAAAATTTATTTGGAGTTTTGTTCTCATAACCAATGGTTTAGCTATAATTGGAGGCATACAATTTCTACTAAACCAACTTGGATTTAAACCAACATTATCATCACAATTTACATTCTGGAATTGTGCTCTAATAATTTGAGCAAGCAACCTTGCAAAAGCCAAATTACAAGTTGATAACCAATGCACATGTTCCCATACAATATATGCATCTATTAAAATCATATAATAGTAAACGGTCCACATGGCAGGTGACTGGACCCTTATATATATCATCTTTTATTCGTTCCAGAAATCAACGAATTCAATCCCAACCTTAGCTGGTATATCATGAGAATAAGCAGCACAAGAGAATTCTTGAAGAATCTTATATTTCTTCAATATATGCCAATGTGAATTCTCAATCAATTTTCACATCATAATTGAACCGGGATGGCCAACCAGTCATGCCAACTGATATTTATTTCAGTAAACATCTAATTTACTATGGCATATGATTCCATCATCATGCTTATATTGTGTAGTACAAATAGAAGAAAACCGAGTAACCTTTTATATTTATCCAGTGTGATTATAGTAATATGAAGATATTCAATCTTCCTTTCATTTATAGTCTCAAATGTCAACCACTTTGGCTAATATATTTGAAACTCAAAAAATTTCTTTTGAGACTTACTACAATATCAATATCATAAACAATTTCATTCATCCGGATAGTAACCAATTAGTTCTTCCGGAGCTCTTCGTTAATTTTGTACTACATGATCTTTTGTCACACCATTCATATGGTAAATATGAAGGAGAAAATCATATCGTAATAAATTGTCATGGTCAAAGTCATCATAAGCAAAACCATTTCTTGCTTTAAGTTTGCCTTTAATAACTTTTTATAAGGCATGGCAAAATATTTTTGGCGTACCACATGTACGCGACCAATTACATATTTATGTAACCACATTGTAATATTCATTATCTTTATTTCTCTCAAACCTCTCTTAGAGGTGAGTTGGTATTTATCCAACCTTGCACAAGCACATTCTTATGCATAATTTTTATCACATCCGCTTCAAGAATGGAGCAAATCAAGTGGGACAAACTTCATGCTTTTTCATGAAAAATACATTATTTTTCTTTAGTCATCATTATATCATCAATATGGTACGTTGGGACTCAAACTCAATGCCTTACCCATATAAAGGCATGTTAGGCCATAATGAGTTGGGACTCAAATCTAACTCTTATCATCATAGAGCACCAGGACTCAAACCCGATGTCTTATCCTTATACAATGACATAATAAGTCTAAGTGGACTCACCCTTGAGCCTTTCATGATGTACTACTTTATAATAATCAGTTATTTTTGCCCGAACTTTAATGAAAGTACGCATTGATCTTTTTCACGAACAACCACATGATCAAACATAAAGGGAATAAAACTATCTTAGTTATACAAAATTTATTTTGACCAAAACATAAATTTAAATCCTAATTATTTTTTAAGATTAATTAGAAACCTTCTCATTAGTTAACAGTTCCATAATCTTGGCTTGCAAACTGTCGGAGCAGTACATTTAGGAGATGATGTCAAGGCATCGTAATATGCTCTTGTTTGTCACTCTAAAGCAGGTACTTGACGGGTGTCTAGCGTATATAAAATTCTAACTCGTACTCAGTCAAATAATAGTATAGAAAGATGTCGAACCCACAGAGATTGATTTATCTATTCTTCAGAAGTTTCTTGTTTTAATTACTATTTGAGAAAATCAGAAAGAGTTGAGTTGTGAATTAGCTAACTAAAAATGCACGAATAGAGCAGTAGAAAATATTTTGTTTTTCACAAATATATTAAAAAGGTGTTGGGATATTGAGATCACTTAATATTTCTATTATATAGTAGAATTATTATTCCTCAATTTCTATTTCTCAAAAATGTATAAATGTCTCTCACGATTACAAATCTATATATTATTACTCAAGTTGAATAATTAATTGCACTCCTCTCGGTTATACAAATTAATCTTCAAAATAGTAATACTCAAGAACCAGAAATATATGATTGAACTAAAACATGCTCTTGTTAGTAAGTCCCTTTCGGTTACCCTACTTGTTATAACTGATTATTACACCATTCACCTCTCTTGATTACAAATAAGTATAAAATTAATTATAACATAAAAGAGATAGATCTTACTGAATAAATATTAACATTTATCAATACTACATTTAACTATATTATTTCTTCCGCCTCTCTCGATTACAAAATTAATAAACAGTTAATATGTAGTACAAGATAGATAGATGTTAATAAATTAAATAACGTCTAACTGTAAAAGCAGATAAAAGTTAAATAAATTTTAGCTCAAGCATGTGAATTTGAGGAATAATATCTACTATTATATAGAAATATTAAGATCCGTCTTTCTCCCAACACAAGAAAAGTTACTCCATATTGAAATTAGTACTAACAATGAAAATATTCTTGTCCATTAAATAAGAAAATAGAAAGAAATATTCAAGAAGAATAATCTCCCCTATTTAATTAAAAGCAGGAACTAGAGTAATTTCCTACACTAGAATTTATTTAGAAACAACAACTAAACCACTATGGTGATTTAAAATAAAAGATAACTCGATACTAGTGAAAAAAAATAAAACAGAGAAGCTTATTAAGAATTTGGATTTAGACTTCTAGCTCTAAGCTTTCTCTCTACTGCGATGCCTTCTTCTGATCGAGCAACAACTTCTTATATAAGAAAAATTCATGATGACTTTTCGATATGGTGCTAGATTTCCATGGCAAATCTAGATTTTGGATTTGCAGAGAAGAATTCTGTCATTCTAAGTTTAGATTTCATCATGGCAAATCGAGACTTGGTGCATTGTCACGACAGTAATGAATCATAGCTCGATCTTACACTTCTTTGTTGTATTTTTCTTGAATATTTGTTTTACTTTTTTCATATTGTGCACAACAATTCTTCTATAATTATTCCTGCAAAATAAAGAAAAATATGGAGAAAACATGATAATTTATATGTTTTTATGAGAGAAATTATGTGGTTAACATCTGGTAAAATGCACTTATCAGTACTCCATATGTATATATCTGCACAAATGAAACTAAATTGTTAAGTAACATAAATTAAACCAAGTCTTAAGTATTAACATAAGTTAATTGCAGAATTCACGGCAACTGAAAAATGATACTCCCTGTATAACAGAAGCAAACACAACATTGATATGGCAACGAATGCCAGATTTTCATAGGCTCAACCAAATTGATTCAAGGTTGTAGCTCCCATGGAACTTTCATCTCTTATAGAAAATATAAGAAGAATATAACAATTCGTGCTGATAACGTGTTAAAAAACTTAGCTCAAAGTAATAATATAAAACAAGAAGATAGACAGAATGTAGAGAGCAAGAGATGAGAGATTCTTATTTCTTTCATATGTTCAAGTGTGTTACAAAATGACTTCTCATCCTCTATTTATAGTACTACATAGAGGTATACCAAAAGAATTCCATAAATATGTCATTAAACATTTGAGATCATGGTCTAAGATCATGGGGGAGGTATGGGAGTTACAACTATAACTCCATAAGTATTAGAGTAGTGGGAGTTATGGAGATAATGGAGAAGAGTAGTGGGTATTACTCATTTAGTGGTTATGGACATCCAGTATAATTATATTTTATAACAAAAGGGAAATTATAGGATTTTGAGTCAGAATTGAAAGAGAATAGGAGATGAAATTTAGCTCTCAAATGGCAGACGACTGGTATTCAGAAAGAAAAAGGCGTGAAGGTGCCCGTGAGAGATAAAAACAAAGTGATGATTTTAAAGGAAGTTGCTATGTTGGCATCTATATAAAGTAGTTCTTTGATGTTTTTGTTAGATTTCAAGAGCATTCTCCCCTACCCATTTATGCAGGCATGTTTGAATGTTAAAAGGATATCTGAGCAGCCTGCTGATCTTTTAGTATTTTTTCCCAATGCAGATTCAGATTTTGAACCACACAACCATTTTGTTCTTTCTTTATGGAGTTACGATTCAAGGAAATTTCATTTATGTTGAGGATTACTAGTTATTTACCATGTCTGTGACTACTACACCCATATGCAACAATAACAAAGGTCCCAATCAGTATCGTTGTGGGTATTCACAGATAAGTAGAGTTTTCGACGAAATCACAGTTCATCATTTGAAGCTGTAGATATGACTAGTTATCTTTCGTATAATTGGGTTAAATTAGCGAAATCTTTAAGAGAGAAGCAAGTGTTACCTGTGAATGTTCTTTCTTATAGAGATATTTGGACAAGTAGTTTACAACTATACAAGTAATATTTTCAATGAGGGATAAGATCAGTAATACATCCTAATCAAGGCTCTTTCATAGTTTGCTGTTGCTGCTCAAGCTTCTTAATCAAATTAGCTTTATCTTCCTCTCTCAAATCGTTGAATATGAATACTGATTTGTCTCCAATATCATCCTGAAATACAAAGAGAGACAGAGAGTACCCGCGAAGTGGATTAGAACTTGTCACTGGATTTTTTTGTTGTTGTTAGGGATCTATATTGATAACTACATCATCCTTGGTGGTTTTTGTAAAATTTGAAAAAGTAAAACGGATAGGTATAAAGAGAACAACTAAGTAAATGAATGGGATCTACCTTGATAGGTTGAGTGAACTTCCTCCCAGCAAAGATCACAAACAGTGCCATCCATGTGCTCAATAGGGTGATCTTTACTCCATCATCCATCAGACCAGTCTGTAATCCAAAAGATACTCCTAAGATCATTATAATATTTGATAGAAAACTGTTTCAACAAGAAAATATGATTTTAGTCCCTAATTCGTAGATTGAACATAGCTTTTGGACAAATAGATATTATAAAGTGAAATTGAAAATGAAAACCAATCATATTATAAACTGTTTCCTTTGTTTCTCAACTATTGGAGGCTAGTCCAACAATCTGAGTGCTGGCCAAAATAGAAAAAAGAAGCTTGAATTGGAGCATCTCAAGATCTTCAGGGGTAAAATACATGAGTTGTCGTTTCCTGCCGCTGGAGGATTGACGCTTCAATTGCAAAGCTTGGGAAAGTATATTTCGAGTTTAAAACTAAATAGCTCTATACAGAATGAAATTTAGGGTTAGCAGCATAGCTGCAAACTTTACCAGGTGCCCAAGTAGGAGTGAAGGGATGACAAATGTCAGAATGCCAGCTTCCAACTTTCCATAGCAAAGTCCTGTTTCAAAGATAACAAAAAATTAACTCGGAGATCCTCAAATGAGCAGACTGTTTTATAGAAAGTGGAAGTTAAAAAGCAGTATAATTTGGACATATAAATAATATGTCATAACTGCTCATGACAACTACAACTAAGGGACAGACAGTATGTTCTTTTATTCTGAAAAGCAGCATACATTTTGTTATATCTCCAAACCTAAAGCTTGCAAACCAAGTTTATATTTGTACAACAAATCAGTTCTAAACCAGTAACCGCAGGATAATATTATGTTGTAGGTGAAATTGTGGAGATATAATTGATGGAAAACACTCAACCCCACGGTTGCCAATTGTTTTCCACAGATATAGTTTGAGGATGATGTGAATCAGCTAATCAGTTGTCCAATTTGGTAAGTTGTTAGATTCGCCAATAATGACACCTTGTTGCCATGCACATATTCAGACATCCTTGGTTTGATTGGATCCTTCAGATGGTAGGGCATAGAGTAGACGATAATGTTGACTTCTCCATACAATTTCAGAAGCTTCTTGTAGGGAACAATACAAAGTTCTATGTTCTCTTATATCTTTTTTGCGTCCTCAACTATCGGCCTTGTTAATTAGCTTAAGTATAAGATTTCTGATCTTATAAGTGATAATCACCTCAGCATTACGAAGTCCTTTTAGTTTAACTTATCATTATTTTGTACTAGTTTTTATTAAAGCCCCTTTGTTTAGAATGGTAACAGTTGTATATATCGACAGCATAAAGGGGATGTTGTAGCCCCTGTACATATTCCGAAACAAAAAGAGCAAGAACAGCTAACTAAACATGCCTTGTTCATCTTACAAGGATTCTATAATGTCTAGTATGGATTCATCAACACTTACATAGCTTTCTTTACACCAAAAATGAAAAAGCAGTATACAATCCAACCTCATCTTGCACACAAGGGTGTTGCCTAGTGGTCAATGTAGTGGGTGAGAAACATCACGTCTCAGGTTCAAATTCCAGCGGAGGCAAAAAATACTAGGTGATTTCTTCCCATCTATCCAAGCCTTGTTGGATAGAGTTACCTGGTACCTGTTGCTGGCACGAGGTGGCAGGTATCCCGTAGAATTAGTCGAGGTGCGCGCAAGCTGGCCCGGACACCACGGTTATTAACAAAAAGTCCGAGTTCATCTTCTGGATAAAACTGCTTTCTCTTCAAAACACCTAGCATTCCTCTCCTTCCAGGCTATCCACCAGATGCAGGCTGGGATCTAATTCCACCATTTCTTCTGCCTGACATTGTTGCCCACAATTGTTCCAACACTGCTAAAGATCTATGTTGACTGCGGCATAGTCCATCTAAGTCCAATTACTGAAAAACTAGTGCTAGAGTTGCATAGTTATTCTGCAGTGCAAAAATAAGTGGTTGTTGCTCTCTGTTTCTACCTTACACAAGTAGCATCCGGAGCTCAGTAGGATTCCTCTTCTCATTAAGTTTTCCTGGGTTAAACAAGATTTCCTTGCCACCATCCAGACAAAGCAATTAACTTTGAATGGGGCCTTGACTTTCCAAATCTGTTTCCAAGGCCAGTTGGATCCTTCCTGATTATCCCCTGTGTATAGGGAGTAAGATAACCTAACTGTAATGATCTTCTTGCTGGAGCCATTCCATGTTAGTTGATCTTCGCAGTCTGTTGTCCCCTGGAACACCTCCACCCGTTGTAGTAGTTCAGCAACTCTGTCAATTTCTCAGTCATTTAATAGCCTTCTGAAATTGAAATTCCACCCTTGCTGACTCCATACATCTGCTACCTTGGCTGTTGGATTTGATGTCAAGCTGAATAAATCAGGAAAGATGTCTTTGATAGGTTTATGCCCAAGCCAATTGTCATTCCAAAAGGATGTCTTTTTACCATCCCCTATGTAGAATCCAAAAAGAATTTTCAAAGGTAGGCCATAGGGATCTGATAGATCTCCAGTTACTCGCACCGAAAGGGGAGGTGACAATTTTAGTATACCATAAAGATACTTGACCAATTTCTGCAGTTGATAACTTGCCTCCATACATCAAGTTCTTCACGGTTATACCTCCACAACCCTTTTTGACAGTGTGCTTCCTCAAGTTTAATTGAGGGTGTTTTTAAAAACAGAATCTATAATTGCATGCTAGTGTTATTTCTATCTATTTGGCCCTTAAAACCCAAAAATTTCCATCTTGAATTTCAGGTTTGGGTTGGATAAGATCTTTGAGGATCTGTTATTTGTAACATGGGATTCAGAGTTTTCTAACATTTCATCACGAAAGATTTCAGCTAAAGAACAACAATAGATAAATAATAAGCAAACTCAATTGGCCTCATAACTGCATGTTTATAAAGATGTAACTAAAAACCTAACCTTCCTTGAAGACAAGTCCTGTCAATGCTGCAAAAAGCGGTCCGACAAACCAAACAGCTGTTTGATTCTCGATAACATATTGAACTAAACTCATGTCAGCCGGTTGAGCAAGGGTAGAATACGTTGCCAATGAACCGAGAGCACCCAGCAACCATAAAGCTTGAAGAGTACGTTTAATTTCAGTCACATAAATGTGAATAAGATATAATGACAGACCAAGTCCGCAAGATCCAATTGCATAAAATAAATCAAGATTTCTCCCAATCAAGTTGCTCAAGACTGAATCATTGGGAAGCAAAGCCGTAGAAGATGCAAGAACAAATGATGCAGCCGCAGTTACTAATCCTGATCTATATAAAATTACCTGCAAAATTGATATGCATTTTGAAATTTAGCTATATGATTGTTGATAGAAGAAATATGTGGTAAAATATTTTGCATTCATCATTTGTTTGACTTGCAAAATTCATTCAGGAAGAATCCCGATGCTCACCGATTTCAGTCTATTAGATAGCTAAATTGTGGCGTCACTAACAAAGTGAGCTAGGGTTGATCAACTGCGCTATGCCTAAATTCTGATATAACACCGAGATAACTAATTGTATAAGTTTCTCCTTGAACTTGGAGCAACAGTGTGGCCGAACGAACTAGAATAGAACAACTCAAGAAGTAGGTGCAGATGGTTTTACCTCTCGAATATCGGCGTCTTCAATAGTCCAAGGGCCATAAACCCCTTGATAAACTGTAGGTTTGGTCGTCTGGGACTGTGACTCTCCCAGCGCCCTGCACTTGCAGTCAAAGTTGGATTTTGTAATTATGGGTTTGCATCGTATTTGCGGCCTCGCTTTTATAATTGGATTTGGTGCCGAGATTGTGAAAAGTGAAAGTGAAATGGACGCCGACGCCGTTCCCAAATTCATGCTCCGACTTTTTTTTGTGCTTATTCTGCTACCTGTACGAAACTACAGATCTCTAAAACATTTCCACTTATTATTCTGGTGTTGTTAAATCCACAACTAAATGAGAATGTGCGGATGTGTGAATAAGACAGGCAAATTACCTAGTCTACCCCCGGAACGGAACTTAGGACCAAATCTCTCTGTGACACAATTTCTCAGGGCAATCTATTATACCCCCAATCTTTCCAAAGTGTGCCTAAGACACACCTCTTTTGCTACGTGGCAGGCGCATGTCTAACCAAAAAGATAAGAGCGTGAACCTCTTTTGCTATGTGTCAGGTAGGGGTGTTCATAAAAACCCGAAAAACCGAACCAAACCGAAAACCAAACCAAACCGACCAAAAAAATCGATACTTTTTGGTTTGGTTTGGTTTTGGTTTTGAATTTTAAAAACCGATCAAATTTGGTTTGGTTTGGTTTTGGTTTTAATAAAAAAGTAACCGAAAAAAACCGAACTAAACCGACTATAGGAGGAGCTATTTCAAATTTATTATTACAACTATATATATGTATATTTTCATACAAAGTTTCAAAATTTTTATGGTGAATGTTAATCGTTTGCACTTTTAGTACAATTTTTTACCTTTATATTCTAGTTTGATTGGTAATTTTTTTTTGTTAAGTGTAAGAATCCATTTCATGTTAAAAAAATTTATATATTTTTAATTGAGTCCTTAAATTATTCATCACTATTTGATTCAATTATCATCAATATATTTTAGTAAATAATAGATTTCTCAAAGGGCGATTATGAGTGTATTGAAGGATATTTCATGTTGCTTGATTCTGGACCGAATTAGATTCTCATGGGCTTATTGATGGGTTCAGACTCAGGAAGATTAAGTGATTGCGTAGTAGTTATGGCTGCGAAAGGGTATGAAGAGATGTCAGCTTGAGGCTAAGCAGGTGGGTTATAACCTACGAGGTAATCTAAGGATGTATGACTTTTATGATGTTGTGTGGGGGCTTCCTTATCTACCAGTGGGTTATACTTGTGTGATTTGAGTTTGGATCGGTTGTAATAGTTGACCTGACCATCACGAGGACGAATGCGAGCTTAGCAGATGATTTGAGGTATTAGATGGTTTGTGTTACATGAGCTTATGAGGGATTGAGTTAAAATTCGATGCAGGATTATGGCAGTAATAAAGGATGGGCATTTTGAGTTATCGAGTGATTTTCCCTATGGCTTTGAGCCAAGTGGGGGAGTCTGCTATCGACGAGTTGATTGCACGGTTATATATTTTATTGATTATGGTGTGAAGTATACTTGTCAATCAGTTATGACTTGTAGAGGCTGAGATCGAGGATGAGGCTGAGATCGAGGATGACTCGAGTAAGGGAATTTCTGGATACGAGATACATTACACTTTATGGGTATATGTGAATCATGGAATGATTTGAGTTTGTAATTCGTGACGGATGTAGCGTGCATGGAGTAAGGGTTCACTCGGTTGTTTAGAGGTGTGGGTTACTTCTTTGGGTATTGTCGTGCTAATGGGGCATAGGTCGTTCGGCCCGTTTGGGCGGTGCAATTAAGATGTGAGCAGGGTAGATGACTCTCGAGAAGGTTCTAGTGGGTTCAAGATTTATATGTAGCAATTGAGAGTTTTCTGGATTTGTATATGGTTAATACCTGAGATTTACATTGGATGGTGTTGGCACTCGCGGTATTTCTGTCATTATGGATTATACATTTCAGTTTCAGGAAGGTGAAGGAAATGACTTTAGATTCGCATGAGGTCTCTTCAGAATGGGTATCTCGGTTATGGTACTTTTGGGGTACTTAAGAGAGGATTCAGCGGCTTATGGGCCTTAGGGAGGTGTGGTTCCATGCTAGAGTTTGTGGGCTGAGTTTGGGTAAGGATCGTGGTGTTCTAGCAAGGAGAAGTATCAACTTGAACTCATGGTAATGGTTACGATCGATTCTTTGGGTACTTATGATGTGATGAGTCTCTACAGGTGTTTTGTGGAAATGCACTTGGGTTTTTGGTGACCAGCGTAGCTTGGTTGAATTAGAGAGATTCAGTTCAGCTAGCTTGGTTATGTGCAAATGGGTTTCGAAGAGTTCTCGATAATTTATATCATGGTTCGAGGTGGATATTGTAAAACCCCGTACATTCGGACTAGGTGTGGATATGTTAAATGGGTATTAATTTGATATTTTAGACATATGAAGTCCTAGAGGGATGATTATTGGTGAAAATAGTTGTTTCAAAATCGAGATGGAAAGTGAGTTGCATAAGATTTGACAAAATCGACTAAGTTTGCAGAAGGTCTATCTTCCAGCCGTGTCTAATAAAAATATGTAAGGAAGTTGGGAAAACTCAAAGCATGAAAGTTGTAGGCCATTGAAATAGCTTTCCAACGATATATTGTGGAGCCCAAACAGATATCTGTGCAAAAAGTTATGCCCATTTTATAGAATGGTGCGTAACCACCACGTTCGGCCGCGTTTGACCGCGACCGCGGTCGTGAGGCAGTGCTCCAGCTATTTACCGTGGTCGGGACCGCGGTCAGGCCTACTCGGACGCGGTGGCCGACTTGGGAAGTCATTTTTTTTAGCCCTTTTTCGTCCGCCACAGCCCCAAAATATAAAAACTTGCTCTAGAAAGGAAAGCTCTCAAAAACATAACTCCTTAAGCGTCCCTCCACCACCCAAGGTAAGTTCTAATGGTGATTCTAATTTAATTTTAATTTCCAACATCTTATTAACATGGGTAAACCCTCCATATCATTAGATATTCGATTCGGACATCATTGTTGAGAGAAGAAACCCTAGAACTCAAATTCAAGAGGATTGAACTTCAAAGAGGTAATGTCTTCACCTCTAATTGATTCTAGCATTGGTTTAATGATTATAAACCCTAGTTCATGATATATGAGTTGATGGGTTTGATAGAAAAGCATGAATGATTATAGGTTCGGGGTGTTGATTGTTGATTATTGGTTAAGGGTGTTATTTACCTTATGGGTGATAAAGAATAATGTTGATTATAACCATTTGAGACTTTAGAATTTATCTAGGAACAAGAGAATGGATTATTGGGTGTAGAGACACTATTAATAAGGACTATGAAGCTTTATTTTCACAAAGTATTTTGATTAGATGCTTAAGTGACCAAAACATGAGCATCATAGCTAATATGGAATCCCTTTGACTTGTATTGCTATAGATTAAAGTTGAAAATTGACCAACGTTGTATTACGCTCAAGAGCAGGAAGTTAAGATATGTGAGGCTAACTCTCTATATTTGGGAATGTTAATGATTCTCCCTACACTACGTTTCTTTTACGACGTTACTAATTGCCTCAGAAATATAGTTTAGCATAGTTCCTTGAATAGTTGCAGAACTTCTATTCTCTAGCTTTGTAACTCATTCATGACTTTCATTCCGAACGTTGTGAAATCAGTGTGTATTCAATATAGACTTGGTTTGATTCCCCCGAGTCTTAGTATAGATTACTTAGTATGCCATAAATAGTTGAAGTTTCAGTGTTCATAATCAGTTCAAGAATACATGTCTCAGTCTAGTCCTATTCAGTATTCCAGTATTATGTAACTCAGTGTGATCCGATATTCTAGTATCATGTAGCTCAGTGTGATTCAGTATTTCACTATCATGTATTGCAGTTTGATTCTCAGTTCTTGAATTGTTGAACACCTGTATTTGGGCCTGAGGCCGTAGTTTATATGCTTTATGCATACTTGGGCCTGAGGCCGTAGTTTATGCTTTATGCATTTTTGGGCCTGAGGCCGTAGTTATGTATACGTATACTTGGGCTTGAGGCCGTAGCTTGTGCACATATATATTGGGCCCGAGGCCGTAGCTTATTCAGATAAACAGGTTGTTCATCATTTAGAAGAGGGAGTATTCATATCCTTACTTCCTTTATTCAGTTCAGATATCAGTTATCATTTCAGTTATCAATTATCATTTCAGTTATCAGTTATCATTTCAGTTATCAGTTATCAGTTATCCTTTCAGTTATCAGTTATCCTTTTAGTTATCAGTTATCAGCTATCGTTTCAGTTTTTGTTTCAATAGTTATCATTTCAGTACCAATTATCAACTCTCAGTTATCAGCTTAGTTTCAGTTTTAGCATTTATAATTCTTTCTTTCAGTTACTTTACATACCAGTACAATTCAAATGTACTGACGTCCCTTTTGCCCGGGGCCTGCATCTCACGATGCAGGTAATGATTTACAGGTTGATGATTCAGAGCGCTAGGATTCTCGTACCAGCTATTTGGTGATCCCCAGTTCTCCCGGGGCATTATCATTACTTTACAGTCTATCAGTATTTATAGGCAGTCGGTGTTTTCAGTACTTCATTAGAGGCTTCATAGACTAGAGTAATAGTTAGACAGAGTCACAGGCTTTTCATATTAAGCTATGTTGGCTACAAAGATGTTTCAGAATTGTATTAGTATTTCCGCACTTTGATATATATCATTTATACTTTCAGTTTATTAGCATGTGTTAGTTTATCTTCCGCACTCAGTATGCCATGATATCACATGTTAATTCAGCCAGCCTGTTGGTTCGCTCGGTCACATGCAGTTAGGCACCGAGTGTTGTGTTACATCCAGACCCAGGTTCGGGGCGTGACAGATATTCACTGGCAGGAGGAGCATGTTGCGTATTGGGATTTTCTCCTAGATGAGATCAAATGGAAGGTTTTTGACCGATCGGGTATGTATTCTGCTTGTGACTCAGAGTTGATTATGAGATTCTTGTACTTTCACATGATGGAATGATTGATGTGGGGTGTTGTGTGGGATTAGGATTTGCGTGTGCACGATCACGATTCAGTTTTGAAGGGAAGGTCATTAATTCCTAGGCAACATGGACGGTTCTAGATGACTAGGTGAATGATATCACTACTTGGTATTGCCTGAGAAGGGTCCACATTTCAGAAGGCGCATTGTATTTTGACTTGCGGAAGCTTCAGTAGTATTGCGGTGCTCGCCTGATTGATCGACTGCTGATATTCAGATTTTGGTATGTGGCATGGAAGAATTGTGAAAGTAGTCCTCG